CTTGAAGTTGTTATAATTATCCATTTTGAGTCCGAAAAGTTGGTCACAGTATTTTAGAGCGTTAAGGTGACCTCGGCGTACTAGGCGCAAAGGCCGCGCGGAACTGTCACCAAGCTGCGCATGCGCCTCGGTTCGTTCCACCGCGCTCACGCTCATGCCGCCCGACTAAACGTCTTGTTGCACTACTGAGCAGTTTCCCACGGACTACCTTGTTTGTACCTACCCAACACAAAAAACATTGCGGTTTGAAATGGTCACTCAGTCAAACGACAAAAAGCTTAGCATTTGGCAACAGAAAATTGTAGCAGTTTTCTAATTTTGCTCGAGTTTACAAGGCAACTATTGGTAGATCACGAAGGGCAATCGCCATTGATCGTCCAGTCATTGATGTGTTCCGGAATCGCAAGCAATTTGGGGTTCACGCCCAAACATGCTTTCTAAATTCCTTCGGTTCAGTGAAGAAATTAATGGACGAGAAGCGATTAAGTAAAGCGTTTAACTGCTTCAATAAAATGGTGTAAATATCAGCGAGGGTCATGCGCATGTTGGTCGTGTGATACAGATATCACGCGCACGACAAACAGATACGAGATCGTTGCGTTTACGACGGTAGAGGCGTGAAACGTAGCACTGGTTCATATCGGTACTGAGATCAGGCGTTACGGTCACGTATGAGTCACTCCCACGTCTTAATTGACCCATTTCGTGTGAGATGTAGCGCTCACAGAGAGCCGCGTCAGGGATACCATCGCCGCGGGACGTGACTCCTCCTATCGACACAAACACTATTCCACTGACATCTCTAGATATTGTTGTTACACATATTTGACAGCTTGCTCGTCTATTGCTTATTTGATAGGTATAATTTGTCACATAAAATTCTATTAGAAAATATGATAAAAAATAGTTATACCAACTATACTATATGGCATACTAGAGTAAAATTTTATAGTTATGTTGCACTTTATGCCCCAAATGTTCTGAAATAGCTGAATCTATCGGTTCTTTCACGCTGACACTGCAACCGAAAACTTTTCAAATATATCTTATCATTTATGAAGCTGCATTTAATAGGAATATTTGAAATTTAAAGTGTGAATCCCTGCGTTAAAAGCGGTCTTGGACCACTAGGGCAACGTGCATGATGATATCAAAGCGGTCGCATTTGTGGCCGCCAGTGTTTATTACACACATTACACGCGCGTGTCGGCATCTTGACACTTTAATTTTAACTTGTATATTTCGTCACCCAATTTAGACACATTTTGTACCTTTGAGGTGCTTTTCAAAAGTCACTTCTTACTGATAGCTCTCAGATCGTTTGCAAAGGTCTTACGTGTAAATTTTATGCAAGAGTGACATTAATAAAATTTCAAGTAGTTGCAGTTACTATTGTCTTTATGTTGACTAATAAGTAGTTACGCGCATCTGGTAGGTGATGGTTAAAAATTAGCGTTCAGTAGTTAATTTATACGACTTGATAATGACAGTGTATTGAAATTGTGGCACATGTAACCCATCTGATTTAAACCTGTTTTTAGGTATGTTAACATGTGCAAAGACGTCAGAGATCCATTGTTATATGTACCTAAACTAGAATGTTCAACCTAATTCTTAGCTAAATAAGTTATACAAAAAATGTTTGGTTCTGTTGGGTGCAGTGACGTATCATGGGCGGACCACCCTGCCGCTGCTATCTCTCCGCAATCTACTCAAAAAACGTCACCCTCTATCGATTTGTTTGTCCTGTGTGGCCTTCATTTTACGCTCGTTCCAAATTATCTCTTAAATAAACCGTAAACTACCCTTTGTATTAAAATTAAAGGCTCAAGAAGGGTAAGGAAACAGCTTTCGAGCTTTCTTTTATTACCCGATTAGAGGGGTTCAATTTTCACAGATTTTGCCTCTAATATGATCTTTTGTGTAATTTGGAACTTATTACTGTATATAATATGATGTTAAACGTAACATAACTACTGTAATCTATTTGCTACTTAAGTACTATAATCGAATAAAAATCTCAGTTATCATATGCCTTGAAATGCCCGACAGATTCCAAATATAAGACATGAATGAAACAGTTTAATCATCATTTCGAAAGTATTAACAAAAGTAACAATTGAATAAGCTCGTGATAGAGTTGTACGAAAAGCGTGTGACGCAAAAAGTGACGCAAAGGGGAGAATAGGGACGTGCCTAATCCATCGGAATGACGGCTGTCCCGTTGATTTATTAGGACGTGAACAGACGTATGTCCCACTCCGCCGGGTCCCCGGAGACGCAGGTACAGACAAAAAATATTTGGGTGTTTGTTGACAACGCAACGTCATGCTCGGAAATAAATATTTAAATACCGATGTTAAAAAATATTTTTTTGTAAGGTTATGTGTGGTTGTCATGGTATTCATACAAATTGGCGTCTCTTTTTTATTTGCTCATTCGTCTTTTTGTTTTACGCAACATGTCATGTAACAAAGCTTTTAAAAAAAGGTAAGTGAAGAATACGAATATCTGATAACTGATACCTGCATTGTCTACAGTTAAAGGAAGCACTACATTTAAAGTAACATCTACAGAATAATTTTCGAAACAAATGATTGTTTTCTCTCGGTAAACAAACGATGAAAGTTTAATGAGACGATAGCGGATAGATTTCACGAGTCGTAACGTCCAAATACAAATCAAGGGTTGAACATTACAGTAAGTTTGGAAGAAGCAGGGGCGCAGTCAGATCACCATCAAATATTCAAGGAGCTCGTGTAGCCGCGTTCGCTCTGTATCTGTCGGGAATTTGGGTAAATTGTTATTGTAGAAACACTTACACATTGTATTCCTTCCGAAAGGATTTTAAAAGAGTTATTATGTCAATTTGTTTATAGATTTTTGGGATTATTTGGCAAATTATCCTCCTAATGAAGATGAAGTAGTTTAGGGTAGACAATATGCTTACTTTAGATAGCATTTCTACGCACAATGTCAGACAAACATAGACTTTATGTTCATATTTAAACAAATCTAACATAATCACTCACCTATGTATGTTTTGCTCCATCCCATCAATCATAATCCTTAAAGAATTACGTAAACGTAACACCCCAGTCACAGTACGTAAGTAACATAATACGAAACAAGGCAAAGAATGAGCAATAACACCTGAAAGTGTTCAGACCCTCATCAAATTGTTGCTGGCAACGTCGCAATGTAGATAAGAAGCACTTTTTCATAATACTTTATTCAGGGTCGGAGATTTGGCTCAGTGACAGAGTAATCGGCCGCGTCAGGAGTGAGGTGGGCTCGCTTAAGTATTAATGTTTAACCCTTTTGCAGCGGGCGATGGCGCGGCGGGCACCCGACAACTCGATGTCAATCCTAACCCGCGAATGCCTTATACATATTTGACGTTCATTAATTTGTCAAGTTTCTGTAATCCACATGAAATGTACGACTTCATTGAATAGGTATGGGAGTGTTTACAATGTGTTTGTTTATGCTGTGTTTCGATCTGTGCGGTGGTTACTGATCAGATATGTGTATTTGTGTAGGGAATATGTTATGGGGGATGCTTGTCAAATTACTCGCTTATTTTTTTTTAATCAAATTATTTACCTACTAATGTTTCTAAGAAATAAGTATTCAATCGGTTTTCAATACGTTTTACAGTTAATAAAAAAAATTTTACATTATAAAATGTAGTATTAGTAAGAATTGTTTTAATGGAAATGTGTTACCGACCTTTCTTCTGAAAAACCAATTAGGAATGTTCCTAGGTCTCATTCTGGAATTCTCTGCACAAGGTGTAAAGTTATTAAATTGTATAATTCATTTTTTTGAAATGTGTAAATATTAAACCCCACATTGCTTACTTCTGCATACACTGGCAGTGAGATTATAAAAAAAATAAAAAAATAAGAATAACTAATAACACCTATTACAGATACCGTTATCCACTACTCTTGTCCCCAAAAGTCCCTAAAGAGTTCCCACTAGCCCAAGTCTGGTGTTCATACTTCCATGCGGATATTTCTCGAGTTTATCCGTTAAATTACAACAGCTGCGGTGTAGGCTGTGTAATCCCTCTAATATATGCATAACTAAAAGGCAACGGCGCGACCGTCGCCCGCAGATATCACTCCCAGAGGAGCGATCCGCGGACGCGCGGTGACCATCACTAGCTCTCATTTTAAATCATATTTTAATCCGCATTAGCATTGTGTTTATATCTCCATTCTTAAACAATACAAACTGATTAAATTTAATACTCATTCGCTACCACCACAATGCTAAAAGGTTCACAACGAGGCCTCCACAAAGAAACGTCCATAAAAAAGTAAAAAAAAATCTTCTTAGAGTAAAGTATTTGGCGGACTGCATTGTGTTTAGCAAAGTCTAGTGGAGCGGAGCGGAGAGGAGGGCGCGCGGGGCGCCAGCGCCCATTGGCCGCGCCCACGCCGTGGGTGGAACGAGGAAAATCTAAAACCAGTTTTCCTTCGACGCTCTAGATTTGAAAAGCTTTTAGCGTCATCTTCCTGTCATTCGACTCATTACTCGAGTCGCGTGCCGTATTTGCGACTGTCAGACTGATGTATGATGTTTGATTAGCTATACACCCTGGGGACTTCTTGAACTTGTCCTCGTATCTGTCAGCTGATTTTTCAATTAGCTATCCATTCACTCCTTTTCGTGTAGCTTTTGGTGAAATTTTTTGGTAATATGGAGAAGGTTTTATATGGGATTTATTATTAAGATATCTTGTTATAGAAACTTTAAAAGTGTTTCAGAAAAGTTTTAATTGAAAATGTAAGATGGGTCTTTTTCCACATGTAAGTACGTAAAAGTCAAATTAGGTACTCAAATATTATTGAATTTGAGTTCAATTTTCTAAAACTAGAAAAAGGGAGTGGGTGCTAGTGGGGGGGAGGTCGTGTGGGCGGGGCGGCCAGGCGGGGCGCAGGGTGCTGCACCTCGGTGCTGGCGGTCGGGCGCGACTCGCCCACCGGAGCTCGGCTCTTGGCAGTCGCGTACCACACGCCGGTCTCGGCGCGCGTTCCGTTGCATCACTGCACTGAGGCACGAGCACGTCGCCACCACCGCGCACGGGCCACTACTCCCTCATTATATCATTTCACCGATACGGACGACACTGGCCTCGAAATTTAAAACCACCTGTAATCAGGAAATAAAGGTGCGTGCCACAGATGATTGTCGCTAATTAAGTTGATCGGCAGCAGGCACCCAAATAATTGGCGTGGAGGAAGCGCACGAAGCGCAGCCCGCGACGGGCGCCCCCTTCAATTAGTGGCACCTGTCGGACACGCGCCGCACATTAATTCGCACTCGCATAAATGCACCCGCAAAAAATGCCAAAATAAACTGGAACCCGATGCACCTGCGGCAATCAGCGGACGTGAACCAACCTGAGTACGCGACTTGGATGTGCGAACGTCTCCAAGCAGGATTGGGAGCCTCCAAGCTTCTGGAGATATGATCATGCTATTTAAAGGCAACAGTAGCCGGCTGGAGCATCTCATTGAAAAGATCCAGGCAAACAAAGAAAACCACGACGTCACTTCGGAGGACATAAAAGGTCAGACACTAATTTTAACGAATAATCTGTCTTCCAGATCCTAATTCATAGGCGATTTTAGTGCAGAAGTCAGGATCGATCAAAGTTTTTGATGGAAATTTTATATATTTTCATAAATTTATATTAATCCAAAGATTTTGAATTGATTTTGAATGGTAAAATTGGTTATTGATACCGGCTGAAATTTGCGAAAAAGCAAAATCTAACAAAAAAGTCATGTAAAGTTTCGTTGTAAGTAAACCTAATAGTTTTCAGACCTCGAGCTGTAAAACTTAGATATTAAAATTTTCTAGTTTTATTGTATGTTGTTCAATATTAATAATGAACTCATTCATGTTTATTTTATCTTTGAAAGATCTTCTTTCTATCTTTACATGGAAAAATATCTCTGACATTTTCGTATTCTCTTTCTTTTATTGTAGCTTCTGCCCGCGACTTCATACGCGCAATCCCGTTTTCTCCCGTTCCCATAAGATTTTCAGGATTTTTTTTCTATCATACCTTCTCCTGATAAAAAAAAAATCAGCCAAATCGGTTCAGCCATTCTCAAGTTATGGCGTGACAACGGGGAACGGGTTTCATTCTTAATATATAGATAAGTAGGTAACCGATTTTGTATTTAAATATGAGAAATTCGTGTAAAAGCTTCGTGCCTTGAATTGAGGATTTTTTAAAAACTGTCATGCACGAGATATTTAATTTGATCTCCGTATTTCTTGTGGAACTTATATTCAGACTTTCAAATTTGAAATTTTCGCTTACTACTCAGACTTTGTGTAATTATGATCCAACAATAGGGTAGATCCCTAATTTTTATGTTAATGTCCGTCTGGTAGATTATTTTAAATCATTAGACACGTATTTTTTTTTCTTACAGAAACGAATACTTTCGACAATATATTGATTTGAAATGTCGCGTGACGTCACTTCTATGTACATTTTAAACGAAGAAATGACGTTTTAGCCCCCACTCCTCAACTTTATTTGTTTTATCTAAGTATTGTTTTATTATACGACAAAATAAAAAAATAAGTGTCTAATATTTATTCATTACCTAACTTCGGACTAATTATATTTTTAATTTTCATACTCAGTCATCATCTCAATTCTCTCTCTATACATGACAATATGATTTTCTTGGTAATACGATGGTTTTCAAGTCATTTCGTCATAACAGGGTTTGCCATTATCTCTATGTTCGGCTAGGTTGCAGACCGAGGTTTAAAAAGTTTAGGTTTATTAGAGCACTGTTCGCTCCCTGTATTCTCTTCGGACACCCATGGCAAGAATAGGATAGCACGGAAAATAGACCACAAAATGTTGTTTTTTATTTATTTCTTAAAGCTTCATGCAAAAAGTGTACATAAGGTTGACTTAATGCCGCAGGCATTTTCGCCCAGTCTGACTTTTGGGTGATGCAGAGAAAAGTTATTCGTAAGTAGGAGCAAGAAGTGAACAACGATTTCATTGAGCAAATAGAAGATACACTAACATATTTCAGAGAGAAATAAAAAATATAATTATAATATATATATATCTAAACACTAAAACACTAACGATAGAGACAGACAGTCGGCGGATACCGACTTTGTTTTATACTATGTAATGATGCATACAGACATGCATACAGACATGAATACATACATAATATATAAATATTAACATAATTACTAATACACTGTGAATAATTAGCGTGATGATTCAGTCAACCTCTATAAGAGAAGCTTACGTACTTTCTGCTTAAATGTTACACTTGTCAACACCACCCTCACATCCAGGAGCGCATTCCACAGCAAAATTGCCTGTACAAAAAAAGGAAGAATGAAATCAGTGCAATAAGTGGGACATTGTAGAAGACGGTCTTGAGAAGAACGAAGGTTTTTTACCGTGGTTTGCGCATAAGTATTGAAAGTAAGGGGATAGATAACTGGGTAAAGAAGGTGCACAAAGAAAGGAGAATAGAGTGGTTAGCGTCTTTTGCTCCCTGCGCTGGCGTATCGGCAGCCACTTTAGTTGCAGCCGATGTGCAGAAACATGATCATATTTACGCAGATTGATAACGAATCGAATGCAGTTATTCAGAAGTCGGTCAAGTTTGTTGAGGAGCTCTACATTTAGGTCATAGTAGCAGACATCAGCATAATCGATAATAGCAAATAATAGGGAAAACCAAAGCCTGCACCAACATAGCCTTCGTAGCGGGAGGAAGTAAGTTTTTCACGCGATACAAAGCCCGCAAAGACCAGGTCCAATAACTTTTTTGCACACACTGGCGACCTGAGTATGCCACTTTAAATTGTTATCTATGTCCATGAAAGTAATCCACGAAAGTGCACGTAATAGAGAACCTACCTACCTACCTAGACCTACCCCTACTATATATTAAAGCCATAATATATTATTATGTTTAAGAGAACCATGGAGTATCCATATAAAACTACTTCTCGAGATGTTTAAGAAACGTTACGACTGCCAGGCATATTATTATTTTCCATAGGCCGTAATATTTCATTTGACGAGTCATAAAACATTATATAGAAATCTATATACCTACTTGACTGCCTCTTTGGTAGACTGGCCGCAAAAGCAACTAGAGGGCTGGGTAAATTATTTATTATTGGTTTTTTTTCTGCTTTTTTCAATAATATTAGTAGGCGGGTCAAGAGACAATGCCCGTTTTGTTAAAGCTGACATTTAATAACATTATGATTATCACCAAGCTGTATATTTTTAAATGTGGAAGAGCCATGCTTCGGCAAGAATGGGCCGGCTCGACCGGAGTGATACCACGGCCTCACAGAAAACCGACGTGAGGCAACGCTTGCGTTGTTTCGTCATGTGAGTGAGGTTACCGGAGGCCCAATTACCCTCCCCTTTCCCAATCTCTCCAAATGCACGCAACGCACTTGTAACGCCTCTGGTGTTCCAGGATGTTTACCGGCTTATGTCATGAAAAAAAAACCTATAGGTGACTCCAAACAGTACAAGCAAGGGGTTGGTTTAGGTGCTACGTCACGCGAAGCAACTTTTAGTTAAGAGATGGTTTAGGGGTGGTAGATGAAAACGGCCATGATAGGCTCTGAGGACGAAAGAGGTGCATTGAAAATTTGTACCTCCACCCTCCTCGAATTATATTAATTACTACCTACTGGTCTTTGCAGGTTCAACTACGAGTCATCGTATAAATTACGCTTATCATTAAGCATTGCAACTTATAATTACCAAATACAAAATTACTTAAATATGGACAGAACCGGTTTTTACCTATGATATGTAAACATAGGTGAAAGACTAGATCCACCGAGTGACGAGTCGCAATATCCTTTATTTACTATTTTACAAAATAAATCTGATATCTCGTCTTAAGAAGGAGTCTTTTGTCCAGTATTGAACGTGTTGGTTGACGATGATGTTACAGGGAAGGTTTGAAAGTGAAATAGTTTTCCTAAAGTGTACTGTGATTATTCTATTTACGTACAAAGCAAGAACCGGATTGCAAGCAGGGATTCATTTTACTTCGTAAATTGAAACTTAAAAATCTTTAGTACAAGTATTTAACAACTACTTAGTACAAGTATTTAATTATAAAGATTAAAAAAAACATACAGACGAATTAAGAACCTCTCCTTCTTGGGAAGTCGGTTAAAAATACTTGAAAAATAATGCAAATCTTCTACAAATTCCAGCATGAATTTTCATGTAATGAAATGGTTAATTTGATTAAGAGTCACTGAAAATCAAAAATCAACTCTCAAGTTAGGTGCTTAAAGAATAAATTCATCTAGTTGTGGGTGTAACACGGTTTTAATACTTACACATACAAAAATAATATTACTCAAATAAAATATGAAATAATACGTCGTCTTAAAGTTGTCCTACATTTTATACTTTTAGTGTAAAAACATTCGCATTACGGGAAATATATTTACTGCCCATAAACTACACAAAGCTTGATAATAGCTAGTTACAAACCGTTGGCTTTCAATAAAATTGGTGTTAATCGATAACGGATAACTTTAAGTATAAGGAAATCGATGTGTTCGAAGTCGTGTTTAAATAATAACATTATAATAGTACCATTTTCTTTCTAATGGTCTTTTTGTATAGTAGAAGTTGTTAAGAACTATTTCATTGGGATTTGAGGTGAAAAATGAAGATTGTAGTGTCTTAAAGGTTTCAATACATTGCCAGACATTGACAGAATAAAGGTTGGCTATGACTTCGTACGGGTGGCTATAGATTAGTCACTTTTGTTTTGGTAAAACCGATACTGGCATATGAGTGATGTCGAACCGCCCAAAAAGTCGGACGCATTGGTAACTTCTATGGTGGGTGGCACTGATTTCTTATCATCAGGGCATCCGTCTGCTCGTTTGCCCACTAGGTCCTAAGTCCTTTACAAACATTTGAATTTTCTTGGCAAGGCGAAGACAAATTATTAGCTGCAAGAAATATATAAGCCTGATCTACAAACGATACCAAAGCTAAATACATAGTTTTTGGACTCTTTGTCTGTTTGTCTGTATGTATGTCTGGGCTGAATACAAAAAGTACTACCTAAAATTTTGCATGAATAATACTAACATGGGCGGGTCAACATATAAGCTACATATTATCACGCTATCATCTACCCCGTAGATGTAATCGCGGGCACAGCTAGTTAATTAATAATAATGGTAAAAAACACTTCTCATGGGGAAGAGTCTCTTTATGATTTGAAAGTAGTAGAGCTTTAAACGGTCTTCAAAATAAAAAAAAAGTTCTTTCTTGGACCTGTATGTAGAGGTATGTATGTATGTTTGTGCGCGATTTTCTCGCGGTTGGCTGAACTGATTTTCATGCGGTTTTCAGAAAAGTGATTGTTACACTTACTCGATTCAAAACAGAAGGTTTTTTTAAACGTTTCTGAAAGAATTATCTCAATATATACCTACGTAAGTAAACTGATATTTTTAGTTAACTTACATTATTATGATTACCATAATGTATGTATAAAAATCAAAAACATATAGAGATTATGAATTGTAAAGATTGTGCGGTTACCACCACAAAACATATAACTTTGTATGTATAACGATATATAATTACCACATACACACATAACATCACGCCTTTTATCCCGAAGAGGTAGGCAGAGGTGCATATAATTACCACCCTGAAGAATACTATAAATCAATGAAAAACATAAAAAACTTACTCCCAAGTCTTCTTTAAGATGGAGTGTTCATAATTATTTGCATTTTAAAACAATATGAATTTAGTACCAGCTTGCGGAAGCTGCTCTTTCAGAATATCTTAAGTTTTTGATGTTTGATTTCACTACTACTACTACTTGATATTAAGCTACTTACAAATGACATAGTACTTAGGTAGGTACTTCCTATATTAATTTCACTTTTAAGTTATAAGTAGTTTTCAAATGAAATTGTTTTACTCGAAGGAAACGGTTCCTATGACAACTTTACAACACTTTAGTTAAATTAGTCCTATACAAAAAAAGATTTAATTGTGCATAGAACATAAATAAATGTAGGACACCAACTTCCACACAAAATCTGTAAACCAATCTGCAAATTGTAACCGAAACCTCATTTTCAGTAGGTACTTAAGCAAATCTAGATCAGAACAGCAACCTCGCCTTAACGCAATTTGAATGTTTTATGTGATTTCGTACCATAACATAATCAATCTCGGCTTATCAATTGAAACAAGAATTAAAGCCGGTATTATCTTCCAATATCTGGTCAAGACGAGACCGGTCGATCTAGGATGCCTGATACGGGATCGTAAAAAAAGCATTCGGCTATCTTAATGTAAATGAATGGTCGCCGTTCCACCATCCACTTATGTAGCCGCTGCAATTAAACTTTAATCAACTCGTTTATCTTCAATCCGTGTCTTCGCGAGTAATCGGCCTTAAAATTGCGTGCAAACAAATCTGAATCAATCACGGTGCCAGGTGTTATGGTTATCGTCGTATTATTTTGGTTTATTTCCTTGTTTGTTGAAGAACAATTACGAGGGGTAAATCCTTGGATTTTTTACGTTTCAGATTTAATTGTTCGTGTAGAAAAGTTATCTGTAGAATGCGGTCATTGCTGTTCTGTAATGACAATTACCTGTACGAGTCTACCTAAATAGGTTTGGGCTCATTTCAGCTGGGCGTTTTGAAATCGTAACGACTTTTCTCTTCATAACTTTAACATGTTGCCTTCTGAAGGCTTAAAAAGTATGAAAATGATAACGAGAGTAACAAAAATTGTCAATCACTGAAGAAAGAAATTATAATCACGAAGAGAAAAATGAAAATGTCAACAGTTCCAAAAAAATATTAACCTATTTAGCTGTATCCTGAATACAAATATGTAATAAGTACTTAGGTACTGATAATGAACACAGACCCTGAGAAAGCTTTTGATTGTAGGAATAGCTAACTTGATGTATGTTCTCTGTAACCCTGACGGCTCACCTGGGCTGATCGATGAGAACATTAGCAATAATATAAAAAAATAAGCAGTAATCTCATTAGAGCTTACCGTCGCATTTGCGAAATCAAGGTCTGCGGGCATTATAAAGTGGTTTGTCGGTTTTCCATGTCGGCTAGCGATTGGCGTTGATTACCGAGGCGCCGGTCGAGGTGTCTCGTAGACGGCGCAATTAGGAAGTGTGCTTCCGCCGCCCACCGGTCGCCGGCGGCGGCGCCACCGTCACCCGGCGAGGAATTGCCTGCAATCGCTGCTAATTACGGCTATCCTCAGTGACCGGCCAGTCGGCAGGCGGCCACATCCAGCCAATGCTGCTAAAATTGCACGAGTCCCGTTACATGCTGCGCCAAGTGTTATTTGTAGCTGAGACGCCGCCCTACCTTTTTATTAGCCCCGCTCGTTGATGTGTTCGTGTCATTAGATACTGTTGTTTTACTTGACTCTGCAAACTGCCGGTCATGCGAGACGTACGTGACCATCGTTAAACTAGGTTATCTATATCCAGACACCAACTTCAGAAATCGAAAGTCTGAATCTATTTAATTTTATAAATTTTACAATACTATGTATAATTTAAAATTAGTAATACATTATACGCGTGTATGTAATTCTCAGCTATCATTATTTTGACCATTAATGGAAGTCGTTACCGCGTCCGGGGCGAGGAGGGCGACAGATTGATATAAATAGTTCCTCTTATTAAATACGCTACTCGGAGGGAAATAAGTCGTAAAAGAAATGTTTTATTGCGAAAAATGTAATGAATGGCTTATTCTTGTAATAAATTGTGGATATTATACTAAGTAGCTACTTGGTGGATTTAAATGTAGATATATTATTGTAAATTAATGTTTATAATTACGTTTTAATTAGCTTCCGTTGAGATTTCTCTGATGAGGAGCATTATAGCGTCGACCTTGTTCGATACATCGGCTGTTCTTTGTCAAATACGATGAGTGGACCAGTGTTTTATGAGAAAAAAGTAATAAACCCAACAAGTGAAGACACAGTGACACTTTCACATTTTATTACAGCTATGAAATACGACATTTATCCATGTCTCCCTAGCTCATTTTTACTTTTACTAAAGACTAATTTTATAATTCTCTATTCACTCTCTGTAACACTTTTAACGAGCAGCTTTTTATATTTAACTAGTGACCCGCCCCGGCTTCGCACGGGTGCAATATGCATGTATTATACATACAAACCTTCCTTAAGAATCACTCTATCTATTAAAAAAAACCGCATCAAAATCCGTTGCGTAGTTTTAAAGATCTAAGCATACATACGGACATACAGCGAAAGCGACTTTGTTTTATACTATGTATTGATGATCATAAAGAAAATTTGTCGTGTGATATCTAGAAAGTCAGTATTGAAAATTGTACAGGAACACCGCAACTATTGTGAACACATCACGCGTATCAATATTTTGTATTTAAAAAATAATATGTTTCATTTTACTAAAATAGTTACCTATATATATTTCTCTACACCTACATATGTGTATGTATCTATAAGTAACAGCCAGTGTCGGTTCATTCGGAGCTTTGCAGCCTCGGGTCTCGCTACCTTCCAACATTAGTCATCATTTGCGCTGACGCCGCTCGTCATTGCGGGCCATTCAATTTGTTTATATTTCACGGCAATCCGAGGTGCCAGACATATTGCCTCTAGCCCTAACACCGAAATATGGGCCCTTACCGATATTTATGAAGGCTTTATAAGAAATGCGACTGTCTCCCCTAATGTGCTTTACACTCCTTGGAAAATCTTCAAATTGATATTATTATTCTTAACTATTTGACAGCCAACGACTTTTAGCGTTTATAGATAAACGAAAGCTCATATGTTTTGGTTGTGGCGTAGGATCACATAGGGGATTTATTGTTATTGTTTTAGTAGAGTGAGTGACAGATTTTGAATAAAGTTGGAGATTCTAATTGTTCGATTTTCTTTTGAATGGAAATACGTTTAATGATGTCCAATTCCAAATTCATCCATTAAAAATATGAATTTGGAAGACTATCGTACTATGGTGTTGTGGAGTATAAATAAAATAGACACATAAACCGAATTTATATAGATTTCAAACAAACAGAAGTGAGCTCAAATACATAGTAATAGATTGTAGTGTGCATATGTTTGATGACTTACAAATGGTAATATTTTCCAACAGAGGCGCTGGGAAGTGTGGGCAGTACGGCGGGCAGCTCTTGGCCGTCGTCGACGCCGGAGCCGTCACCGTCGCCAGCCTCCACCCCAACCTCGGCCGACGCTGCCGACGCAGAGGCCGAGCCACCCTTTACCCTCGGCGCCACCGAGCACACCCCTTACCAATGCCAGTTCTGCGATAAAGCTTTCCCCAGGCTCTCCTATCTCAAGAAACATGAACAGGTATGTATGTAGTGATACACGTACTTAAGTTACTTATTACGGTTAACCAACGCATCCCATCCTACACTCGCAATCTTCATTAAATCTGCGACATTATATTCACAGAAGATCTAGACTAATGCTACTAACATTTGAGGCTGCTAGCATATGTATACCTAACGTCGAGTCATTTCCATAAAGTAACGCAGCTAACAGCTTCGCAGACAATCCGACTGCTGAGGCAATCATATCTGTGTAGTGTATCCACAGGGCAGTTTCGCCTTGCATGCCCTCGCTTCATTAGCAAGTAGATACCCAAAACAGCCCATTTACAGAGCCGGTGCGTAGATATGCATCGCTCTCGGCTGCACCGCGCGCTGCTGAGGTGAGGGCTGTGACGTGAGCGGCCATTATGCCGGCCGTACATCTCGGCTCCTTTGTGTCGCGCCGATCTCGCCGCGTTACGATTACGACACACGCCGAGACAGATCTAGCTGAGATAGGACAAATAGAAACGTCACTTTGCATGCCGCCGCGAGCTGCTCGCCTACATACGGATATGGATCGGCACGTACACTTCAAGTGGCAAAACCGTCACCTCGTTCAAAATTAAAATTAGGGGAGGTCTGGCTCATATAAAGTTAAGATAAGAGACACGAATATCAAGAAAGGATTTCATTAGATTATCGGTATGCAATTGGCGTGTTGCGCTCGCGTCGATATCGATCAGCGCATCGCAGCGACCGTTGCTGGTGTCGGGTGTGTGCCGACAAATGTATCGCGCGATGATCGCGTCGCGGAGCCGCGACAGCAGCGCGGTGACGGCCGGAAATAGGCTCGCGATAACAACTCCCTAGCCTAGCTCGCCACACCTTTATCATCGCGCCGCTGCTTGGGAAAGGCGATCATTATAAGAATAAATCAATTACAAAGTCCACGCATACTCGCCATTCGTCTTGTTCTCATTGCGCCTCCGGAGAAATCGTAAAGCAGTAAAACGTCTCGTAGAAAATATTACTTTAATGCTGAAATACAATTGATAGCTTAGAACAACAGTTCTCGACGGTCCAGCTTAATTAGCTCATGCGATAGTTACGACTGATCGTATACGAGTTGTGTGAACACCACGGTCTTGTAAGATTACATTAGATTGACTGCTTCTGAGCTGAAGAAGTGAAAAGCAGAACAGCGTTTCTAAGCTCTGGCTGATGTTTGGACTTGAAAATCCGATTTTCACTAAAAGTTTTATGGCAGATATTGGAAATTAGTAAACCGTGTTCATGATCGTAGTTTATGCATTTAAAGAATAAAAACCATTTTGTTTTGACATACTTACTTGAGATTCAAGATGGATGTAAAAAATTAGAGCGGGCCGAGAGATTCACATCTTAATAACAGTAGGTACGAGCGCCAACGAAGTAGAGCTACTGTTTCGGAGAACTTGTGATTCACAAGAATATTAAGATTTTTTATCATAAAGGCTAACATTTTTCTGCATGCGCTCCATATGGTGAAGGGTACATTAATATTATTCAATTCATGTAGTACTTAAAATTTTGTTTCGTTTTGTAAAACTTGAGTATTTTGTAGCGACCGCGGGCTGGCATACGTAAACAAAATTATTAAAATCTTGTTTTCATATGGTCGTGATACTTATGGTTACATGGAATGACTTATAACAAACTGGATCTCGTTACTGGGTTCTTGTCGGGTGCTGTTATCGCCCTAGCAATGAGCACCAGCATCTGCGATGACCTCGCCGTCTCATCACCTGACTATGTGAACCGGCGATGTTAAGCAGTTATTCATCTGAGAAAGTTACTCAGTAGCCGCCGCTGCCCATTTCCAAGCTTTTATTGGCTATCACGTTCACCTCAAACTAGTTTAAAATGTTCTTGGTGCGCTTTACTCGGAAAGCTCACCACCATTAGGAGCATAATGTCGGTCGCTCTCACGGTGTTTGTTAGCAGTTTAAATAACTAGACGTGATACATACCATTCGCGTGTCTTTTTACCATAAGCACAGTGTAGTGTCGTGGTGGGAGCAGCACGCGGCGGCCAGCAGGGCTCCGTAGTGCACCCAGGGGCCGAGCCCCCGCGGTGCCGGCGGACCGTTTCGCTTATTGAATTCTCGCACGAAGTATCATGATGACAAGACAATATTTTGTGAAAATAAAAAACGTATTTACGAACGTGTAACTCACCTTAGGACAATCAATTGCGATATCACCAAAACAATAAAACAACGTCGTACAACAACAGCTATCGATTAATCGATTGTCAATCTGACGAGCGTCTAATTGGCGCACGCTGAGGGTAGCTTCCTCTTAAATGAGTGCGTGGGCATGGGCGCTGCCGGAGCGCGAGCGGGGCGCGATTTATCGTGCACGGAGGATCAAATTTATTAATTCTGTCAGGGGCCGATTGCTCCAATTAAGTGAGTGGAGTAAACATGCCGCTGCTATGTTTATGTGTTGCTGTACCGGTGCCGATGCGCAGTGCATCGTGCGCGGGCGCTTCGCGGTAAAATTCGCACGTCACTCACCGGGAGCGGCCACCGCTAATCACAACAAGTGATTTAAATATCACTTGCGAGTCGCGTCACTGCTTTATGTGAATGGAATTTAATTAGAAGATAATTCTTCTTATTTTTTTAAATGGTACGATTAAGTGAATGTCTAGTTAAGTGCTTACTCTACTAGGTAATAAAAATCGCGAGATAAACGATCAGGTCTTGAGCTATCAACTCAGATCTTAGAATTTATAAGACGCCAGATAGACTCCCATCTTCGTTGGACGATGTAAATATGTAAAGGTTTCAGAAAAAGGTGTCTTTCGTCAGTCTCACAGATCACAGAGTAGGTTCATAGGATCTTTTTGTAAAAGTTAGGTGTGTTATTAAAACAAAATTAGTTATTTTTTTTTATAACGTGGAAAAATTATCATTGTTTGATAAACGTCATTTAAAAAATCGACTTCAACCGGCTGTTTTTTGAAGTCGGTCATAGATTTATAAAAATAACATAGATGTCTGGCTATTGTCTACGGGTAGAATTTAGGATCAATCTTGACGGTAAATTCATAAACATACTGTTGTTTCTTTTTTACTTATGTCTCTTTGCTTATGCAGAAAGAGACAACACATTATTGTCATTCTGGCCATAATTTTTTGACGTCATCAGAAAAACCTAGTTGTGCCGAATTGGCCATCTTAGTCCCTGTTATCAGTGCATGTCAGTGGTACATCAGCTGTCAAAGCATTGGTCAACAATATTTTGTTACGAAAATTTGTAGAATTCCTGTTGTTTTTGTGCGTGGTAAACAAAGAAATTATTGGTTAGTGAGAAGAACTATGCCCGGGTGCAGTGTTATTGGATGTAGCACTAAAAATATTACTAAACCGGCAGGTGTAACATTACATCGGTAAGTACTGTTATTTTTCATTAAAATATCTCTGTTTTTCAAACTATTCAAGTGTGGTTGCTGCAAATTGACTAAATACAATACTTTTCTAACTAATGCAGTGCTTATTTTCATTAATTTTAGTTGAAATACGTCTAAAACAATTTTCATTAAAAAATAGTGATGTACATGATTGTTCCCGTATCGATAATTTTATCGTACATAATAAATGCGTCAAAAGTAGAACAAAGAACTATACTAAATTCTGAATGATAAAGTGCATTAATTTGACATAATGACAAAATACAAAAAACATTAAGTACTCGTCAAAAATTTCATTTTATCGACAAAATTCCACCATCGTCAATACCTACGTAATGTAATAAATAATTAATACAATAGAGAATAATTTTTGTACAATATGAGATAAGGAATAATATTGTGGGAAATGCATTTTTGTCAAAATTGATTTTTTTATCAAATGCCGCTCGACGGATTCAAATGAAACAAACAAATGAAATATAACTTTAGGGTATTTTTAGAGTATTTATTAGAATGTGTCGAACTCTGCCGATAATTTTAATAATATTATAAATTTTCTTTTTAGTTTGTGCTTGAACCACGCAGAAGTTCTTGGCTGGAAATAATTAATGTGGGAAATATAGATACTAGAAGGAAACATATCTTTGTTTGTTAACTTTATTTTGAAGATTAATGTTTTAACCGAACAATAAATTAATAGTAAATCTACGTGATGGGGCCCTATCGCTACAAGCTCTATTGGTAAATCATAATGTAAACGATTCATTATGTGTTTTGTTATATTAGTTTTGGAAGCATTTTTTGAAGAGGTGCAAACTTAACATTTTATTTAACATTTATATTAAGTTCATAACTAACCGGGTTCTTGTACCTATATGTTTCTGTTTTCCTCCGCTATCTATCACTATCATTGTAATGTACAAACATTTTCGTTCAGAGCTTAGTACAGTACCTATAGAATCTATAGAAAAATCTATGTTCAATTGGATCAAGTAAGTTAAATTATACTATTTATGTTGCAGCCTCTAGCCAGATATGTGCATGAAAATGAACTTGGAACCAGTTCTGGAGTCTTCTCGAAAGATGGTTTTGCAGATTACATTACAGGGAAACACTACGAAAAATACGAAGATATTGTATATTATAAATCTTGATTTTATGAATACTTTGATACAGTTTTATTTTTCAACCCTCAAAAATTACATAACCTTAAGTATATAAATATTGACCAGTTGATGGAAAATCCTTTTCATGAATTTCGATACATAAGTATCGTGAAAGTTATGATGTGAATGTATAGGCACGATCGACTGGAGTGACAGTGCACGCAGCAACTACTAAATATATTTCGCTAATATGTTGGTAATGTTTAGCAGCTACATAAAAATTAAATCCAGATGAATCATAAAATAATGATATTTTATTGATAAGTCAATTAAAACCAATTCTAAAATATCGATATTTCTACAGTTTTAAAAGTTACATCCCTAGTTCTATCCGCCATTACGGGTGACCAAGTGAAGTTTATGTAGGCACGATTTTTTCCTAGTTGTTTCTTATCCATACTCTTATCATATCAGTGAAGTCAGTTAATTAATATACTTAATAAAACCTTCTTCGAAGTGTAATAACCTCTTTACTGAAAAACGTATTGAAATCGGTTTAGCCAATCGCGAGATAGTCGCACACATATATGTACATACACTGAAAACCTCTTTTATTGAAGTCGATTAAAAGAGAAGCAGATAACCCACTTTAACAACCCATTCATGAATAAGCAGTTATAAGAGCCAGGAAAGGCAAAGTTATGGTTGTTTTAAAACAATTAATAGTGGGACAGTACATTTGAAAAGAAAGCTCGGTACGGCGGAAATAAGGCCACTTAGCCCAATTAGATCGGACTCCTTGCCCATAATTGGTGGCGACTGAGCCAACTGAGCCAGGATACGTGGTACTTATCAATCTGCGCTAGACGTGCTAGTCATCACAGACCGGGGAGGTGATCTTAGGTGGCGTGTCAATGAAATTTGACTTTTACTGCACGGTTGGTGCGGTGGCTGGGCAACCGGCTGCCGTGCAACGCGTTGCGGGTTCGATTCCCACAGTGAACAACACTTTGTGTGATCCACAAATTGTTACTTCGGATCTGGGTGTCATTGTGTATGTGAACTTGTATGTTTATAAATGCACCCACGACACAGGAGAAAAACCTAATGTGGGACAAGGTTTATTTAAAAAAAAAGAAATGTAAAGTTTAATGATTAGTTTAGTTAGTCTTAATCTGTACATAGTACTTATTTACTGGTTTTTATTGATTGTTTCCTATTATTTGGTTGAAACTACAAATTAAATTAATGACTAATTTTTTGGTATAGGTAGGTATTCCGTTTTAAAACGGGTCTTCTTTCTATGCTTTTTCAATTGGTTGCCAATTTAAAGTTGGGTGATAAGTTTCAGATTGAATGATCAGTAGCATAGTTAATATTGCCGTTTTCGCTTTCGTTACTCGATAGTTTAACTCGGTTTTCTACATAGATATGTGTGTGATTCGAAAAATATGTTATATATAGTAAAACATAACATCACGCCTTTTATCCCCGAAGGGGTAGGCAGAGGTGTTCATTATGCCACTGTATAATGTAACACCCACTTTTCACTATTTATGTTATGAGTCCCATGTAAAGGGGGTGAGCCATTACCGTATTGCCATATACCGGGCACAATTCCAGACTCCGTGCTACTATTGTGAATTTTTTTTAAAACACAGTAATACTTTGTGCAATCTGGGACTCGAACCCGAGACCCCTTGCGCCGGGCAAGCAGTCGCACTTGTGACCACTCGGCCAATGAGGCAGGCCTATAGTAAAAGTATTGTAGTTTAAATGTTATATAAATTATGTATATGTTATATAAACTACAATACTTTTTTAACAACTTGTGCTATTTATTTGTCCAATACACAGCTGTTTGCACGCTATCTAGACACTCACACGCTAAAATGTATTAATTTATATCTTATTTACATCCTGTTGATAGATTTATAATAATAAATCGGTCATTTATCACTTCAATGACACCTGAATATTCACAACTTTGTAATACTTATTTAACATAACATGCTATGAGTACATTTCTTGCTATAATTTGTTTTACATGATGTGGACACGACGACATCTCCTCAGTACATAAAATGTGTATAATTTCGGGTCGTATTTAAGTTGTTCGAAGTGGAAATAACATAAGTTTTCTTGCTGTATTTAACGTATTAAGAACTATCTAATATTCGTGTTAGTCTCTGGCGCCTAAAACTAGTGGAGGTTTGAATGTCACCATTTATTAATATCATTCTTTAATTAGCTTCGAACAATGATAAAAGGTAAATTTTAAAACATCTTCAATTATTCATTGAGCGGAAGTAAGTTCGTACCTACTTTACCTATTTATTTATTTATTCATTCACACAAGGTGGTCTTGCTAAAATAATAATGTTTTAACTTTTAACGTACAAATTAAAATACGAAGTGCATGCATATCAACAAAATCAACTAGTAGGTAGCTAATTAAATATGAATAAGTATAAATAAAAGAAATGACAGGACAATGGCATCGTTATAACAAGTGCTAAATAAACATTACTTTGTTACCAAGCTCTGGAGGTGTGGCAGAGCCTAACAAGACAGTGTTAACAAATTGAGATGCAGTTCTAATAGACGCTAGCCTCCTGGTAATTGGAGGCACACGACCTTAAGAACCCTCGTTCAAGTACTTATGATAATATTATTGGTGCCTCTAAAGCTACGCCAGCGCCACTTTTTGTAAAACAGAAAATAGTAATGCGTTATTTAGAAATGATTGTGCTTAAGTTTTGGTAGATCAGTTTACATAATTCAATGTTTCCTTAAAATAGCAGTCGTGCATTTGTTAGTACGTAATACGTTACGTACAATAATAGGTATTAAAAATTATGGACCTCTATTACTTTTCTGTTATCATAATAGTTGGAATGTTTACTTCAACATTTGTCAATAAAACTGAATATTTTTCTAGTTAACTAGGTGTCATTCAAGTACGTTCGAGTACGACGTATGAGAACTAACACAAACGTTTTGCTTTAATGTTATTGTCGTGTTTGTTTAGCGCAAATTGTTGGACGCGTTAGCTGAAGTGGCATAGAAGCGAGTCAATCATTTGTAACATTTGTTTAGTGTATTCTGAATGAATGTCGCGGAGGTGGTCAATTAGTAAAAGCGTGAACTGGCTGTCAGTTTGGGAGCCTATTATCTGCCGGCCCAGCTCCAGTTCACGGCGGTGCGAAGGCCGGCGACGTGGACGTCTCTCATTATCTCCCCGCCACACGCTATTCACAAGCGCCGCATTAGCATCCTCATTATGTCTTCACTCATGAATAATCTTTTGACTGAGCCCAATAATACTTATTTTTTACAACTAAACGTATTTCGTCACGTCCAACATAGCTTTGGAGTTCTCAAATAACTGCGCACGCGTTTTATGATCATGTGTTTCCCATAATAAATCAATAAGCATAAAATTTGCGGCATAACTTTGCACGTACTAGTGTGTGTAATATACTATGCCTTTGAAGACTCAAGTCTGTTACTAAATACTATTTTGAAATTCTGACTCATGTCTTATTAGGTATTTTGGAGGTGGATGAGCGAATTGCGATTAATTTCGCTTTCTGTCTCTGATAGATTATTTACAAATTCTGATAGTTTGTTTAGAAATTATAATGAAGGAACTGGCTACTAACTGTCGCTGTTAAGATATCTTAGTACCTACGCAGCTAACTACTGAACCTTTGTTTACACTTGAAAATATCAATTAACTCGAGGTAACTTGAAGGTAATGTTTTAAGGCGTGTTAAAGGTGAGCAGCTTGTATTTTCATTTAAAGTTTATGACTGAGTAATAACTGAAGATGATTATGAGTTTCGTGGCCACATAAGACCGATGACATTAACTTGTATGCAAGCACACTATGACAAAGTATCACCTTTGTTAAATAGATGTATGGTGAAATCTGCGAATTGTCCTCATGGCTTAACGGTCGGTTGTTTCATAACCTGTCCAGCCTCTGCCTGGGTATAAACTTTTTGTTCCCAACTACCGTTACTAGAAGACGTAACTCAAAACGTGTTGTTCGCTGCAAAGGCGTTCCGGTGAACATTACCGATCAAATCCATCTCGTTGTGATAAGCCCACTGCTCCCGCGCAGGAATGTTATCGGTTACACGTATCGATTCGTTATACTGTAGCTTCGGATTTTGTTCTGAAACTGCTTTTGATTGGCTATTGTTATAAGTACTAATGTATAAGAAGGCAATTCTCACGTTTGAACACAATTGTGAGGGGAATTAAGTAGCATCACAAGTTTGTCAATCTACTTTAAATTTCTGTTACTGCTAATCTATTAAGTGAGCAGTAAGTAAGTACAAATACCGAAAAGATCAAAAGAAACGATCGCTACAAAGTAATTAATTGAACGATTATCGGTTTAAATCGATCTGCGATGAAGCGGTTACCAATGGCTGGTATCTCATTCGTACGTCACGAGCTTACTGGGTCCTTATTTTTTCTCTCTATTGACACAAAACGCCGGTAGATCGTAACTTCGTAAGCTGACCAGCTCACGCAGAGTCAGCGGCAGTCATTCCATTGTCTCCGAGATCGTTCTCACGATAGTTTTTGTGATCAGCGCACCCGAAGTTATTTCGATTCGATATTATGTGACGTAAATGTATACACATTTTAATCGTTCCTCATGTAATCGATTAAATTAAATGTAGTTAGATTTGATTTGAAGGTGAGCTTGAGAACATGGAATTTGAATGATGGAATGTCAAAGTCATTTAACTTTCTCTAGACCTTATGTAATACTTATACGTTTAGATATAACTTACATTTTAAAGTTATCGAATTGGCCAGCCTAGCTTATCTAGTCCCGTGACTATGTCATGCATCACGAACAATGAGAAATATCAGGTGTTAAGTTACGTTTTTATTCACGTATTTGGCAGCTTGTATGCGTATCTACGTAATTATAATATGTTAATCAATAACAAACCATGACATAATTATATGTTATTGTTGCAGACGCATTCGGATCAAATGCCCTTCCGATGTGAGTTTTGTTCCCGGCTGTTCAAGCACAAGCGATCCCGCGACCGGCACGTCAAACTGCACACCGGTGACCGCAAGTACCGCTGCGCTCATTGCGAATCTGCATTCTCTAGAAGGTGAGTTACTATACACATAATCTTTGTTCGTAATCGTAATATATCAATTCATTCCTGTACTTTACTTTACCTTTGATCATAGGCAATAGACCTACTTACATTCATAGGGAGTATAAAGAAGCCTAAAAAATGTTTTCTTCATTTCCACTTCTAAACTCACCTAATACCTCTACCACTATAAACGGTTGTGCATACAAAGAGAATGCTAATGCGTCTAATCCGAAGCTATTCAAGATTAATATATGGTTAAAAGAATGCTCAGAAGATGCGTGCATGACAAAGGCTAAGAGCAAGATTGATCACCATAAGTCACGGGCACCGTGCGTTCATAAGGCGACATGTCACCTTTTTCGTCACCTTACCGCGACCACGTGACTAATTCCATGCAATTTGTCGGCCCAACGAACCGGCGACGAGTGAAAAGAGATGATGCGCTGACAAATGACGTCGAGGGTCTGACAAAAATGAAATAATGGCCCATACCTAAACGGGCACGGCGAGCGTGGCCATTAGCGGAGGTGTTTGGGCGAGCGCCTCTATTCTGTAGTTTGCGTGAAAAGCCTCTTTGTTAGTTCTGTTTGGTCCGTGCTTTATGTGGGTACTTATGTCTCAGATGACAAATTGACGTCTTGGCTTATTCACAAAAAGATGATTTGTCTCAATTTTAAAATCCTTACACGGATATTTTCAATTATTTTACAAACAGAATTTAGAGATATGAAAAGGTTTGGAACAGATAGTCGAAAAGGGTAGGAAATATATAAAATAACAATTTGTTCATTCCAATTTCTCTTGCTACTGTGTTTCATTCCAAATATACAGGCGCAATATGTATGCTTATTAGGGTGACTTAGGAGGGGGAAAAATAAAATCTTGAATCAGTTTAGTAACTGAGTCTATACAAATTTCAGTGACCACCTGAAGATTCATATGAAAACACACGACAATCAGAAGCCGTTCCAGTGCACTGTCTGCAACCGAGGGTATAATACAGCAGCAGCTCTGACGTCACACATGCAGGGCCACAAGCGGGATCGCGAGGGTCGAGAGCCTGACAGGCGTAGAGCACTACGGTGTCTGAGATGCGGAGACGCTTTCCGACGACCTGACCTGCTTCAGGTACATTCTGACTTTTAACATATTAACTTAAAGTGTAAACTTAAGTTTTTGTGGAACCGTGTTTAATGTCAAAACTATCGTCATTTTCAAATTAAGGGTATTGTTTATTGTATTTATTCAGGCCCACATGGTGAGCGCCCATGGCGTTGACACAGCGGCTATGACCCCACCCCGGCGTGTTGCATCTCAACCGCCGCCCACGCTACTCGCCTGCATTTACTGCACACGCGATACCTTCACCAGCATGGAGCAACTACAACTTCATGTTCGTGCAGCACACTCAGCGCTGCTAAATGGAGAGGGACCAGTCCATGTGGATCAGCCTGCACCTACAGATCTAAGTCGGCGTGCTCCCGATGAAGTACCTCCAGTGAAACGTCCTCGCTCCGGCTCGGGTACTCCTCAAACAACTTTATCACCAAGCACACTCCTCTGCAATCAATGCGATGCCGCTTTACCAGATTTCGAAGCGTTTAGAGCTCATTTAAAAGGACACCTGGAAGAAGGAGGAGAGCTAGGACGATCCAGTCCCGCTCCCTGTGTTCACTGCGGTGCTACCTTTGCGGATGCTGCAGCTTCAGAGCGTCACCTGACTGCGCACTATTTGGCAGTTTCTTGCGAGTACACCTGCCATAGCTGCGCTAGAAGTTTCTCTGCTCCTGATGACCTGCAAAAACATCTCCTCGAGCTGCATGCTCATCATCTTTATAGGTGCGCCCTATGCAAAGAAGTCTTTGATTCGAAAGTTGCAATTCAGGTGAGGAGAATAAAACGTTACCATTAATTTCTATTTGTCATTTTTTAAATAAACAACAAAAAGAATAAAATCTGTAATATCAATTGTTTTCTTCGACAGGTGCACTTTGCGGTAGCACATAGTGGTGAAAACAAGGTGTGGGTATGTCGTTCCTGTGGCGTGGGCGCGGGTGCTCTTCGCTCGGAAGCTGAAGGCGCTGCGCACGTCCGCTCCCGTCACGCAGCCGCTGCCCCACGTTGTGCGTGCGGTGCTTTACTTGGTAGTGGCGTAGCTGCGAGGACACCACGACCACATCGCGCATATCGATGCCCCGTTCCAGCATGCAATGATGCTTTCGCAGTACAATATCTTCTTGAAAGGCACATGCAAGCGCATCATGCAATGCAACAACAGGTAAGGGATTCCTGAGATTAATCCACATATTGTCTACGTTACGTAAGTACTGTTGCTCATGTAAATATTTCAAAATAAAAAAAAATATTTTCAGGTCTTAAACGGAGAACTACCAAGAGTAAAAAGAATGGAAACAAGTAACGGTGTTGATGGTGGCGAGGATGCACGGTCTCCGTGTACTCCGGGGGCCGAAGGTGGTGGAGTGACCACAGCTGTTGTGGCTGCCAGTGAAGAACGACGGCGGAAGAATGGCGCTGTCGCTCTGCAGTGTGCTTACTGCGGAGAGCGCACGCGAAGTCGCGCTGAGCTAGAAGCCCATACTCGAGCTCATTCCGGTGCAGCTGCTGCTAGGCACAAGTGTCTCATCTGCGATGAAGTACTGCCATCTGCCGCGGTGCTAGCTGAACATAAGTTGACACACTGCAAGGTGAGTTGCAGCAATTTTCGATGATGAATTAATTACATTTTGATAAGTTTAAAGTTATGGCCGAGAACAAAGCACTTTATTTTATAATCATGAATAAAGAGTTATCTTTTTACATTTCAGGTAATATCGGGTGACACATGTTCTCGGTGCCGTGCTCGTCTATTATCTGAGGAGTCATTCCTTGGTCATATGGCGCGACATCACCCAGCCTTGCCGGCACCTTGTGTTGTGTGTCGTCAAACATTAGCGTCCGAAGCTGAGGCACGACTGCATGCACGATTTCATCTGCGACCTGGAGAGGATGAGCAGAGGTGTGCGATATGTCTACGCGCATTGCCAGAGGGTGAGGCAGGCGAGGGAGCACGTGCTTGCTCAGCATGCTATGCTCGTCATGCTGCACCTCGACCCCCACCTCCTGCCGACCACGACTGTCGCCTGTGTCGACGAGCCCTTGGTTCTCCCACCCGACTGCAGGCTCATCTCATCGAACATACGTTTGCTGGCATTGGTGCCTTCACCTGCTACTTGTGCTCAGCTGTATTTACCAGTGCGGCAGGTTTGCAACGCCACCTGCCTGAACACGCCTCTGCACCACGACCTTACGACTGCGCGCGTTGTGGACTGAAATTCTTTTTCCGCGCGGAGCTTGATAATCATGCGTTCGTGCACCTTGAAGAGGCAGAGATAGCACAGAGAGCCTTCTATGAAGCTTATGCTCGTGGTGCTGCATCTGCGTGGGCTGCTTTGGCTCCACCAGAGCCTCAGTCGACCCCACCACAAGCTGAAGTTAAACGTGAGCCAGAGATCAAGGAAGAGCGAGGTACAGACGAGTATATTGAAGTGTCGTCACCTCCTCCTGCACCACCACCGCCTGCTCCCCCCGCACCACCATCTCCCGCCCCCGTAGTAAAACAAGAGAAGCCAGACGAGGAGTAACTGGATGCCGCCTTGTCGTACAGTGAATGTGTCGTCCCTGACGCGGGCATCAATCCCGCTGCAATACTAGATTACGTCCGTAAGAGCTATGTTTAAGTGGTTAGTTTCGTTAATTGTTAGTTGTTAAAGTTTTGCGTTCAGAACGCTGTATTTCCTGTAAGTAGTCCATACCTATCGTTTATGTTGGCTAGGAGTATGTTTTATAATGTTTACATGGCTATTTGTATGAACTGTTAACTTAATATATTATGTTAAGCTTCAATAACCATAAGTGTTTGTTTTTATTTATACCTGTTTTAGTATTCATCCATTTTACCTACATTATATAGGTATGCTAGCTACTAATTAAAGTATAACCAACTACAGGAAAATCTGTATAATTGATAGCATTATACAACTTTATAAATAAGTCGATGTCTAATTTGTCAATACAGACATAGCTTATAACAACAGATTGAGTTTATAGTAGGGTCACTAAGCAGTGGCCACTTGCTGTTGTATCCAAGGTAAGAAAGCTGCGACATTGACATATGCGGCGGGAACGTTGGCATTAGCACAGCCGAGACCCCACGATACCAGCCCCACTACAACCCACTGTCCATTCACTTGACACACCAGGCCAGAACCTCCGTCACCCTGAAAAAGGCGAATACTTTCTTCAGTACTGGAATACTTACAAATTCAGTAAATTTTGCAGGTGTTTCGGAGGGTAAAATTTAACCTACGTGTACGTAGTTTTCAGACGACATTGATGACTTTTGAAATTCTCGTTGCTTGGTAGTTATTTTAAAACTTTTTGGCTACCAATTCTCATATTCAAATTATTGTGTAGTCATTTGTTTTATGGTTAGCTTTATGTTTACCGTATTTTAACACAAACAATGAGAAATGAGAATTAATGAGAACTATTTCACCAAAAACTGTAATTTCAATAGCACACATTTAATATTTTGTATGTTATACGTACTGTACACGAATCCTTGTTGGCCTCTCCACCAGCACAGATGAAAGAAGTGGTATCCAGTACAAAGGACGCTCCAAGTCTGGCTGTTTGCATTTGTGTCTGACATGTGGCAGGAGCTACTATTGGTACATCTACTTTTTTCAATATTTGTTGATACTGGCCTTGGATGCCAAACATGTCTTTACCCCAACCTGATACCCAACATCTGAAAGAAGAAAAAAGTTTTAGTAAATTTCTTTTGCACTTTATGTTTTATCGTTGAGCTTCTAAATGACTATAAGGATACTGATGCATTTTATGTTATGTTAAGTGTCTACTTAATGCCTCTGTACAATGTAACTTTAAGTAAAATTCATTTTTCATCATTCATACAAATTACAGTTGGAAATTCTACATTTACCTTATTAAAAAAAATGTGATTCCTAAGCAATAAAGTCGCAAACCGCAATAAGAATTATGAACGGAGTCAAGAATAAATCGCAAAAATTATAATTGGTTCTGTTTAAATTCTTTTTGACAAAAAAAACCATTAAATTTGACTAGTTATCACAATTCTTTTAGTTAGTTTTGTACCCGCAAATAAGAGTCAGCTTATAGCTTTTAAAGGTACCCTTATAAGTAATTACCTTTGTCCCGTATAAGTGCTGTTAGACGTCGGTGGTAGACAAGCTCTGTTGATAGTGACTGCAGCTCCAGCATTGGGTGTGATAGGCACAGTAGCAGATAGCCTCAACACCATGATATCGTATTGCAAGGTATTAGCGTTGTAATTCGGATGGCTAAACACCCTGGTCACTGTGTACTCTTGGAAGGGAACAGGTTCGTAAGTGCCAGCCGCATCCCACTCGCCAAGACGGACCTTCACATTTGGAGCTGTGCCTGAAACACTGATGTTTTATACAGATTAATTTTCGATAAGGTAAGTACTTAGTTTTGAAATATTTTGAATCAATACTAATTATTACTAGACGCACTAGTGTAAAAAGATGGAAAAAACGAAAAAACTAAAAAGGCTTCTATCTGTACGCATAACTTACACATAAGGCAGCAATTTATGGGTGACAGTCAGAACATTCAGCTGATTAATCAGAACACCTCCAGCTATGTAGTCGTTCTGCCTCGTCAATATTAGAGTCTGTAATGTAAGTAGCCTTTCTTAGCAGTCTTATTCCAACACTGACCATCAAACTTCACCTGTATTAAAACAGTACATACCTGCCAAGGATATTCTCCAAAGTTAGCTTGTCCAGCAGCCGGTGTAATGGCTGTAGTGGGCACAGATTGCAGCGTACCACAATTTATCAATGTAGACGTAGTAGTGTTGCCGCAACAATACTCCTGACCAGCTGGACACTGAGTTACTACCTGAATGATTTGAGTCATAACTTTTGATACTGTACCTACTTAAGGTCAAGTTAAAATGTTCAAATGTATAATCAAAATTTTACTTACCGGAGTAACTATTCTGATGTCAATCATACCAGCACCTGAATTAGTACCAGATCGGATACAAGTTCCAGTGGGCACACATGCACAGTTACTTTGTCTTTTTACAATTTTGTGTTCTTTCTCGGATCCTAAGTTACATAAGAACTCTTTCATGTTTACTCCGGATTTCTGGTCCACGCTTCTGCGTTGCCGTGGAAAATTGACAGCGCTATTATAATTTGGTATTTGTGCACTATATCCACTTATAGGAGGCATGTTTACAGCTGCCGAAGCCGGGGTGGTGCCGAGCCGAGGGTCAATCGGGAGCGGGCCTGTGGTGGTTTCATCAGGATTAATTATACATACTACGTCAGGATCCATACAAATTATGAGAGACAAAAGCATGCCACCTAAAGTAGTTGTGGTTGTTGTCGTCGTCGTAGTCGTAGCTGCAGTTGTAGTTGTAGTTGTGGTTGTAGGGGGAGGCGTTGGAGCTGCCGTGGAGGTGGTGGTGGTCGCTGCTGTCGTTGTTGTCGTAGTGGTCGTGGGTGGTGGTGTAGGCGCCAATGTCGCATTCGTGGTCGCAGCAGCAGTAGTGGTCGTGGTGGCAGCCGTTACTGGTGCTGCAGTGGGCACTATGATTGGTGCCGGTACCCCAGACACGATCACAATTGGCGTTGGGTTCGCTGGGAGCATCCCCAAACATGCTGTCAGAATCCACAAACACATTTTGGAAAAAGTACTTATTATTCGATTAATTTACTAAAACGAACGCCGGCCGCCGTAGCCGGCCACTGTTTGATATTGTTGAAGGTGACGATGAGCTAAACATTAAATACGTCCTTAAAATTGATGGTATTTCCCTAACTGTTGCAGCCTTCATGGTGTAATGCGCATGATCATATGGCGACAAATTGTTGCAATCAACAAAATGTGGATTACTAATCTTTTGTTAACGGGCAAGTGTCGTAATTTTCGTCATCATTTGAAAGAGTAAATTATTGTAATCTCATCGCTCTTGAACCGTAATGGCTAGTATAGAACTGTAACAAAGGATTATAAAAACATCATAATATGTTTATTTTACTTGTCGCTCACTCTGGTTCTACTCGCGAATTTAACTTAGTAACTAAGTTCGTGCTATGGTAAATGTATGTATGATGTTATTCCCGGCACGTCATAACAGATACTAACAATAATTAGTGACGTAATTTAACTAAAAATTCAACAGAACCAATAACCATAGTATAAAGACTGAATTGGAAGAAGGAACTAAAACTTATATAAAACTGAAGAGCTTGTTTGTTTAATTGCGCTAATGTCAGGAACCAATGGTCCAATTTAAAAAAAATCTTTTTGTCGAGAAAAATCGAGGAAGGTTATAGGCTAAATTTTAGCCGCTAAAACATCACGCTGCGATCAAAAGGAAATACGCTAGTGAAAAATAAGACCGAAAAACCATAACACCAACGATGATGATGATAATGGTGAATACCACGTTGGACAAATGTTCAGAGCGTTTATAGAGTTCAATTCTTGAATAGTAAACAAACATGCAACTGTGCCCGGTATATTGCAATGGGCTGGCTCCTTATTAAGATATAATTCTTAATTACCAAGTGAAAAGAGTATTATTTTCATAAGATTTTTAAAATCATTTTCATGTATGTATCTAGCTATTGGTCGTGGGTATAAACTATGTGATGTTTTACTACAATGAGAGCGGTAACAATTCAGCGGTAAGAATTCTTGCGACACCTACAACCGAAGCAACAACGTAAATAAACTAGTAAGTAATGTTTGTCTGTATATCAGTCAGCCTGTACAGTCGTAATCTATCATTCAGCCTTGTCGAATGGATAATAAAACGTCGTTCAACATACCCATTGAGCTTCATGAACACATTGCATAGTTATGAGACCGTGGCGGGGTCGCCATTTAAATTATTTGTCGGTGCAGTATTTGTGCATTCATATTGTATTTATTATATACCTAGTTTAGACTGTTCAAAAAACTTTCTATTGGTTAACTATATTCAGATGGGTAGATATGTTAAAAATGTTCGACAAATTATTATTGTATTTGGTATATAATTCGAAAAACTAATTGTTATAGCGTCTATCGAAATTTAAGTACATCTACGACCACGAGTGAGTTATCGACTATTTGTAATTATGAGTAAGTCAGTCAAAATGGGCAATCTATTTACTAAAAATGATGACTTCACGTATCCATACCAGATAAAGCGTAATACAGGGCATAACTATAACTCCGCTCGGACGCTGCTCATGGCACAGAGGGTCATGGCGATCCGAATGATCCGCGGATACCGCGCGATCTCTGGGGAGTCGGCGAACGCGATAAGTCCCCTCTTTGAGGAGTAGCTTGAGAGACGCTACGGCGTCCTCACCTACCGCCTGACGCAGGTCCTCACCGGACATGGCAGCTTCGGGAGGTACCTGTGTCTGATGGGGCGGGAGGAAACGCCCGGGTGTCATCACTGCGAGGACCGCCCTGAGGACACGGTGGAACACACAGTAGAAGAATGCCCTGCGTGGGCTGAGCACCTCCGTGTCCTCAGGGAAGTGATCGGCGATGGCGACCTCTCGCGTCCGGGCCTAGTGCAGGCCATGATGCGGAGCGAGGGGGATTGGGATGCCGTCTCCTCCTTTTGCGAAGCAGTCATGCTAGCTAAGGAGGAGGCGGGACGCGTGAGGCAGCGAAGCGCTGCCTCCTCGCAACCCAGCCATCGCGAAGGACTCACCGGGCGTCGGGGATCGCGGGACGGTCTCCGGCCACCGTAAGCGCGGGCCTGCGGACGGCGAGCATGGGTGGCTCCCCGTCCGACCAGAAACAGACCCGAGCGTACGGCGCGTCGCGTTCCGCGCGCGCCTCAAAGAGCCATCAGACCACCACAGATGGGGCCCAATAGGGCCGATGCCGATTCGGAGTCGCGGAGAACCTAACGGGTAACCGGGGCTCCGGCTCGACGTGCAGGAGAAGGAACGGGGTGGTTTTTAGTCAGTAAGAGTCTGACACTCCCTCCCGCCTCACCCAGGCGGGAGCAGTCATTCGATGATTTTCCCCCCTAAAAAAAAAAAACTCTTTACCTACCTAATAAGTAGGTACTGATGATTCAATATTGTTTTTGACAAAAACACTATAGACGTAAGTAAATCTGGATAGGGAAACTGTTACGTCACCAAACTCACCAACAACTTGTTGAAATTACAAATGGTTTCTCCGTAAATAATGTGTACCTATTATATTGTGAACGTTTTCCTATACAAATGACCTACAAATGTATATCCCGGTGTGGTGTCACCATAAAAGAATTTAAAGAGAAATATAGTGACTTTTCTTTTGAATAGGTAATAGCGATAGTAATGACTGGATTGACGCAATTACTTATATTATTCATAAGCAAAGAACATAGAAGAACAGGCTTACCTATAGACCTAATAATTTATGTGATTAGTTTCCAGAATTTGTTGATGAAAATAATGGTACCTATACCTACCTACCTAAATATGGAAATTTTCACAACTTTCTAATGGACTCTGTCTTGATTTTGTCCACATGTTTATATTGTTCTAACAAGAATATCGCTAAGACTCCAATATTTTTCTTGCCCAATCTGAATTAAAAGTGGTAAAAAAATACTTTTTTGTTTCTATTCAAATTCTGTGGAGAATGGGATAATTTACAGATATTGGCAACGTGTTTACGGTTAATTAAAAATATTTTACTCATATTGTAAAACAAAAGCATGTGACAAATCAATTAAAGCAATATGAGATGTGTGGTCATTATTTGACAGCTATCGTCTTTGGTAATAATGTACCTAATGATATAGCGTATGCTTATTTTAAATCAATAATAATCAATAGTTATTAATGTAACTGAAATTGTGTGCGTTGTATCCAGCATTTGAAGTACTGCCACCTTACGAACATATTCCGCACTGCCATGCTTCCAGTAGCTTCCCAGTTCGCGTTATCACTCGAGCAGTAAACTAGCACAGATGGCGTTGTTAAAGTACGTCATGAATCCGCTGCGTGGCGCCACCGACAATGTTCGCTCTGCGCAAGCCGGGCATACGTCGTCAATACAAACAAGAGGTGTGCTGTCTTTATAGAACGTCACGTATAGTATATGTATAGCTTAGAATGATAGCGCCAGCCAGTAGTGCTCGACTCAGTTTGCGTACACTGCTTGTGTAATTCGAAGCTGATTGTGAATGCAATCCATACTAAAAAAATATTATTGCCGCGAGTTTTAATTATGACATATTCGAGTGATATCCTTTTATTAAATAAATTAAATTTTGGTTCAGTGAGTTGCAGTTAACATTACGCGACAAACTTAACAACCGTGTCTGTTTTAAATCTGCAGTTGATATAAAAGTTCGATTTAGTGTATCGTGGAGTTTATGATAAAAATGTTCGGATTGTTGCCTATGTTATGTTTTGGTTTCTATGAATGCCGGAATCAGAGTCACCTTAACCAGATATTCAGATCGTGAAATTTAAGCTTATTTTATTTTAAGTATACCGTCAGTGCCGGTGCGGCATTAATATAATTACAAATGAATTTTATTAACTGCCGATTTTTCAAAATGCCTTCATACAATCAAGATATTAATGTGGATCTGAATTCTAATGAAAATGGTGCCTTGAAGACTGATGCCAAAGATGGCAAAATCGATGAGAGTCGGTATATGTCGGTCGAACAAATTCCGAATAACGCACCGGTGGGACTCAATGCTGACCAGGAGATCGCTTTTGCTCTGAGAGATTTCTTGACCCCATCGAGTACAGCGCTCAGTGATGGAGAACCATCTCCATCCGCGTTATCGCAGACACTACCTTTCATAGATGAACAGGTAGATGGAGATGATGCCACGCATTCTGAAGAGGAGTTACAGCAAAGCCGTGAAACTGAAGAAGTGTTGAACAATGCGGCTTGCCGGCTGAGGCGGTGGCGTGCTGCGTCAAGGAAGTTGCGCCGGCCGCGGATAATAAACAATCTGAGTTCTAAAGATGAAAAAGACAGCAACATCAGCAAGGTCTGTAACTCTGGGCACACGGACCTGGCAGACCGGCTCCGCAGCCTGGCGGCGGCCGGCAGCATGTCAGCGTCGGCTGGTGAGCTGCTGTCGCTGGCGCCGCCGCCCCCAGCGGCCACCGCGCCGCCCTCTCCTGGCTGTCTGCTCTCGCCATCGCTAGCAGACCAGAGCTCCGCAGAATATTTTGTAAGTCTCAACAATTTCTTATCACGTAACATCATATATTATTTACTGGCGGCTGAACAAAATACTACCTGTAAACGTTCTTATCAAAAGTCATATATGTTCCGCGCGGAGGCTGATTATTTACATAACACCTATGTACGTACACAAGCCAGTATTTGCGTTCCGAAGACGCACGCACTTCGTCGAAAACAAAGCATTTTTCTACATAAATCAAAATTTAACGATCGTGCCATGAATTGTTAAATACCTAGTCATGTGTGAATTAAGTCGGGTCTTGTTTGATGCACTGCTACAAGAATGAGTTGTTGCATGATGCTGTAATCAGTGATCTCTAAGCTAAATCTTTATACTTAGGTAGTAAATCTATACTGTCGCAATGGTAGCTCGGTTCGGTTTTCGCGGTTTCTCTCAACCGCATCGCTATGCCAGGTTGTAACGTAACACACAGATATTATTGAACATACTATTTACTGACACCTATGGTTCATATTTTGTGGGCTTGTCTTATTACGAAATCTGACGTAGGTAAACGTTTGAATAAGTAAACATTGGTACCTTAGGAATTTAATGTTTATAAATTATTCACTTCTGTTGGCAATCATTACACCTGTCTATGAAGATTTATACCAAGCAGCAACATATTAACGTCAATGAAACTATGTATTACGGCTTCTTTTATTAACAACCTTTTTATGGGATGCTTCGATTTTAATTTATTGAATCTTAAAAATAGTACGTGAAATCTTTTATTTATAGTCTTGACAGGAAAATATTCTTTGAAATCTTTCAGTTTAAAGTTTGGCTGCACAAAACAACTTTTGAGAAAAGAATCCGTTCCGTTCTTATGTTTTACTTTTTCTTAATTTATTTACATTATCATTATTTGATGTGTTTCATACACGTTAGCCAAGATTTATGTAGACATTCAATGCTTTTTTTAATTAAAATTTTTTGAATTTTATGTCGACTAAAAGGACCATAACATTGGTTACTGCAGTGAGATTTGACGAAAGAAAAACATTTTTCAGGCCGTTAAGCAGCAATAAACAGTATCTTGAGCGTATCCTACAGCCTTTCACCCATAAATGTACGTCATTAAAGTAAGAACATTGCTGTATAAATCAAGTGTTGACGTCACGAGAGCGTCGCCGGTTATTTATGCATCAACAGCCATTGCTAGTACAGCTGTTTCGATGTAAGTACTAAACATACGGCCCACAACGTGGTCTCAAGTAATTTCGGCAGATACGCAAGGAAATAGACAAGTTAAGATAATGTCAAGCCAAATAAACACTGGTGATCCATCATAGTAGTATTCCTTGACTAATAGCAGCAATTTTGATGGTTCTTGTTCAACCAAGTATCTTATCTTCAACAACATATGACACAGGTACCGTTTTATCTTAGTTGATAATAAATGCGATTTATTTGTTATTCTATAAGTAGGTACTAGTAATTTCCTTCTCATACAGTTTCTGTATGCACGTGGTGTCGGTTTACCTTTCGTGGTTTAGCCAAAATATTTGTGCTTTCTATCGACTGTTGTGCAAAAGTGATTTTAATTTGCCTTCAATAAGTCAGAAAATTGATTAGTGACCGCTACATTTGACTTGTATTATGCAGGTATGAGTTGCATTATGTATTAGTAGTGCGTTTCATTAGTATTTCTACTTGATTAAATTGCGGGTGTACCTACGTAAGACAGCTTGTCACAACTTCTTAAAAATTGCTGAAACGGAGCAGACTATGTAGGGGAAAATGCTATAAAATATTCGTTGCCTGTAGCTTAATACTTGTTGCTGGTGCTTTTCTTCTTCTAATCACTGCATCAACTGTTGTAACAAGTGACATCACAAGTACCGTCTTGTTATCCTCATTTACGTAAATTTCGTTTCTCGTTATTTCACAGTGTTCAAATATTATGTATTGTTTATTGTGAATTATATTATCAAATGTGCAAACAAAGTAATGCGACGCTAAAGAATTTAGATCCTTTCGAAATGCTACGACTTTGTCATTACGACTTTACGTTAGGTATATGTGTTCAACAAAAGGTTGAAATTGTTTGAGATAAAGCATGTAAACCACATAATATAAGTATGTATGTTAATGGCTGCTTGGCCAGTAGCTTACAGGGTATTAAATACTTACTACATTTGCAAGTAATATTACAGAAGCAAAAACGGGAATGAAAAGTTATTAAAGTACATTTTCCTGAAATTTTGTTATCGCAACATCGACCAAAAACGTATGTAGTGTATGTTTTTATAATAAAAAAAATATTATCCTTATCCCCTAATTATAACTACGGAAAACTATTTATACCTCTATAGTTTGACTTCATCCATCCATCAACAGCCTATTAATGCCCACTGCTGAGCAAAGCCTCTTCTCACACGGAGAAGGTTAGAGCGTTAATCACCACGCTTGCTCAATGCGGGTTGGCGATTTCAAACTTATAATTAGAAATTATAAGTCCAGGTTTCCTCACGATGTTTTTCCTTCACCGTTTGTCAGTGGTGTCTAGATAATCTTAGAAAGTACATAGAACTCGGAAAAAGTCCCATTGGTACTTGCCGTTGGTAGGTTTCGAACCCGCACCCTCATGCATGAGAAGTGGGCGTCTTAAACCTTCGGGCCACCACGACGATGTAATAGTTTGACTTATTACATTGATATTTCAGTCAAACGTAGGAAAATTTTATCGAAATGACAATAATCTAATATCATATAAATCGAGCATGACATGTGGTTTTATTATACGAGTACAAGTGTTGTTTAATTACGCTAGTCCTTCACCCCTGGCTGAGTGGGACGACAGTTGGTGGAGCAGACTGGTGTATAAGTACTATAAGTATAGCAGGCTCGGGCACGCCGGCACTTCATGACCCGCACGCCGTGCGCCGCGCCAGACCAACTAGCATGCCCCGCGTGCTATATCGATTGGTTCAACCTAACAACTCACTTTAATCTTGACCAGTCACTTTACGTCACAAATCCGTACAACAATAGAACTCCACCACTTTTGATTCAACATTTAATTATGTTTTTTCTCAAGCTAAACAAAAGTCACTTTGTTACGCTCCTTGACAACAATTAAGTTATTTTAGTTAACAATTGACCCCAACAAACTCTTCCTAAGAAACGGACAATGTAAACCACAATATGCGTCTAACCTGTGGTCTAGTGGTAACTGTTTATTTGTAATTTTGAATTCTCATACAGTTTTCATGACATCTTCGTAATTAATGTTTGTTTTTCCTCAAAGGTAGAAGGCTCAGGTAAAATATATAAGGTAGGTCTGACTAAGCTCATATACGAAAAAGAGGGCAGGCCAAAACCATTTACGTAGGTAGTATATGTTTTAGGCTTAGATAAAGATATTGTGGAACCCTGCAAATAATAGTGTTTATACAGAAACAACTAGGTCACTAAACTAGATCTCATCAGATCCTCGCTTCAGTGGCCTACTGAATCTTCGCAGATAATTAATTAAATTATTATTTCTTCCTGAAAACAGGTCGATACTGAGACATGTAGTCTTGTATTTGTTCGGATAAGTCTTGGTTTTAATGTGTTTATTAAGGATCGCTTTATACCTTAATCTGTCGTGTCAATTTTTGTTAATTGATTTTTAATTTACAATACGTCAGCAAAGCGTAGATAATTATTATTTATTATCAAAACTAGAAGACCGATTTCTTCAAACATTTTATGAATAGATTAATGTAATTACTATGCAGTTTAGATAAACCACTTATTATACACTTATAGATACCGTTGTTAGAACAATTCTCTATAATTTAAATAACTGAAAAAATTGAAAGATGGAAAACAATTTTCCATGATTTTTCCTCGTACTTACCTGTGTTTTTAAATATCTAAAGTACAATAATAACCTTCATAAACAAAAGCATTTTTAAACGCAATAAAATATGAATACGTTAATTAGGTACTAACATTAAATCGTACTTTTGCACCTTGATGTATGCACGTACACATAATAATATTATTATGTTTTTAAATACTCTAATAAACAAAGTGCCTATCTACATACATGACGAAAGGAAAAACAATTCCACATGCCTACACCATGTTCTGGCGCCAGTATAAAATGTCATACTACACAAAATTGTAGTGTTACGAATACCAGTCGTTACTTTCAAGGCTGCTCATAGCATGGATATCGATTTTTTACAAACCATTGTTTATATCTCTAGCTAGTTAAAGAGTTAATATAGCTTCTGCTGCTTGCTAACGTTTCAAATAAAAAAATATTTTAAGATAAAATCTCAGACTTCTTCAGTCGCACTTTTGACTGCCTCGTTGGCCGAGTGCATGGTCACAATTGCGACTGGCGCGCGGGCAAGAGGTCTCGTGTTCGATTTCCGGGTCGGGCAAACTTTTTAAATTAAAACCTGCCCGGTATATGGCTATAGGCTCACCCCCTATTACATGGCACTCATAATATAATAGTGGGTGTTGCATTGTACAGTGGCATAATGTGCACCTCTGCCTAACCCTTCGGGGATAAAAGGTCACGCCTTGTTATGTTATTCGCTTAAAATGTTGCTTTAGTATCTAATGCTATAGTATTGTACCCGCTACGGTGGTTCTTTCACCAAAAGGAAAGAATTGAACTCTAAAGTAACGGAATTAGGGTATCCAATCCATTGTTCCTGTCCACAACTTAGATATTTTGGCTTCTGTAGTTTCCTATAACTGTAAATAGAAAGAACAGACCATCCATACTTCCTAGTAAATAATCGTAAGACCATTAACCGATGACAAATTCAGCTGTTCATTAGAAAACCATTTTGAATATTCACCGTAAACACCAATGATTCATATTTGAATACTAGTTCCCTTTATCCTGCTTAACAGCAAATCCCTAAGACGTCATGAAGGTGTGGATGCAATTCTAATTAGTATTACATGATAGTTGTAATAAGTAACAATGAGTGTAGCGGTAAAAAATGAGTTCACGGACGTTCAGACAT